TGCATGGCTGGTTCTGCAGGGCTGGTTCTGCATGGAGTTGGTACCACCCTGGTTCTGGTAGCAGGTCACCTGTTCATGTTTAGAATAGAGAAGGTCCAGACCAGTTTGAAGTTCTGGTTCTGGTCCAGTCTGATCTGGACTTTGTTTCAGGATGCTGGTTCTGTTTTCTCCCGGGGGCGGGCAGGTCCGGGATGCGGTGCACTGTTGTCATGTCCCCTCCCTCCAATATTGCACTCGTCCCGGCCTCCCCGGCCCAGGGGTCGCGGCCCGGCGCCGTCGTCCTGGAGGACAGGAGACAGCAGGTGTTGCTGAAGGACAGGATCCAGAGACGGTCAGTCTTCTTCTCCTCGTCTGTCAGAATTTTAAACCTTCTCAGATTCTAATTTATTTGGAAAGAAAGTTTTCTCCTACCAGCATGTTGCCTTTTTTAACACGGTGAACGTTTGGCTTTAGGAAAAGTTCAAACTCTGTCTGGCGGTAGGAACCCGATTCTCCATCAGCTGCAGTTTTATGCTGATAATAAATGAGTTTCTGTGGTTTACATCAACAGGAAGTTAGTGCTGCTTTAAGGAGGACGTGTTGGTCTCCGTCTTTACTGCTGAACTGTCCCTGCAGATGATGCTCATCAGGAGGAGAGAAGCAAACGGTCGGTGCTGCATCCTGCAGGCTAAACCCAGACAACAGGTCGGTGTAACGGTTCAGGCTAAGAGCGTCTGACATCAGTCTGTTCCCATCAAACTCCCAGCGTTCCGTACCTGCAGCAGGAAACATCCGGACTCTACAAGGTCCGCCGTTCTGGAAGAAAACTGAAACGTTTTGGGTTTAGGTTGCCTTTAATGTAGCGATGCACAAACATTAAGCCTCCATCATGGCGGTCTCAGTAAATACCATATCTGACAGCAGAGGACGGCTGGGATGCATTATTTGGTTAGAATATTTAGAGAGTGATGCGTTCACTGACAGAAAAACTGCTCCGGTAAATCATCTCTGACCGCCCTGAACGCCCCACTGAGACAGAACTAGAGATGCTAGAAGTCATCAAAACACAAGAGAGCAGCGTTTTCCAGACAAACAGCAAGCAGAGCTTATTTCTGAAAAATAAGTTACTGGATAATAAAAAAGCTTAAATCTTCATTTGACTAAAAATAAAGAATAAAAAACACATTCTGATAGTGAAGTAAATAGTGTAAAATTAACTGGATGTTCCCGTAGAGCCTTAAGGATGATTTTATAGAATAAAATCCTCAGAGCGCCGGAGCCGCACCGAGCAGAGCGTGTTTTTATTTAGAGTTCGTTAAAGGAGACAATGCGGATGAGCGTCGGCGCAGCGTTAAAACCTCTGCCTGGAAAACAAACAGGCTGAAGCTTCTTTCTAAAACAGCTGATGCTCATCAGGACAGAAGCAAACATGGTGGAAACCATCATGTTAAGAAGCAGATCCTGGTTGGTTCATGGAAACGATCAAACTTTGCTGTGATGGATGGTTTCTGCGTCTCATCAGCTTCCAAACACTTTCACTCAATCAGCCCAACTTCTGCTCAGACTAACATGGATCCGCAGACGCTCGGCTCTCTGACGGCGTCTGCGTCTGCGAACAGTCCTTCTGTTGAACTCAGACCTGGATGTGCATCAGAACCTGCTGTCGACGAGCTGCAAAGTCTTCTGGCACCGTGTCTGAAGCAGCAGAAGACAGAGAAACAGGTCAGAGGGAGAAAAAAGCTCCTGAACAGCGAAGCGGCAGAAGGTGTGATTTACCGTTACATCTGTAGCGCAGGTTGGACCAGATGATGTTCTCCTGGGAGAAGCAGAACACGCCCAGCCTTCCTCCTCTCATCGTGGTGTCGATGACCACGCCAGAGTCCGCCACCATGTTAGTTCCCTCAAAGAACTTCACCCTGAACCCAAAACCAACCAGAAAATCAGTCAGTGAATGAGCGAGTGACACTGACTGATTCATTACCTGACTGATGGACTCACTCACTGACTCAGTAAACCATTCACTAACTCATTTACTCACTCATTTAATAGGTCAGTCACTCACTCATTTACTCACTCATTTAATCAGTCAGTCACTAACTCATTTAATCATCGGTAAGCAGTAACAGGCGAACTCAGTAGCAGAAATCAAGCGCACCCTTTCTGAGGCTGTCGTTCTAATGGATGATGTGGTTGCTAGGCAACGATCTGAATCCAGATGGAGAGACTGTCTGACTGGAGCAGAAACTGGTTTACATGTGAGGAGAAGGAAGGAAGGAGATGAGAAATATCTGCAGGAAGCATCAGATCTGAGAGAAGCAGAAGTTTTCAAGTAGAAGAAATCTGAAAATATCT